CCTAAATGTTACACACTAGAGCTTAAAGGTATCCTTAGATTGAATGCAAAGCTAATTTTAGAGACAGTAAGATTAAATTCACGACAATGCAGACACCGGTGGAAGCAAGCTGAACGGCATAAATTCATGCCCCTGTGACTTGTTTCAATTTGAATGAATGAAGTTCTCACATCAGCCATAGACTGACTCTGTGTTTATGCTGCTAACAGCTAAAGTAAAAATTGGACGTTTGGTGCATTAGCTAAAAACAGAAGTTAACCAAATATAGAAGATACATTTGTGGGAATAAATCAAGGTGTAAAATTTGTTTAACATTGTACCGAAAAACACCTTTGCACTGTACCTCTGGGGGAACGAAGTTCGGGGATGTCAGCTAATCATCACCTGGGATCTAAGCTCACCTTGCTATCCCAGGCCACCCCGAGATGCACCCCTGGTGCAGAGCTGTGCTGGTAGTATGAAAAAGCATCATGGAAGACAAACAACTATAAATCTTTTGATTTTTTCTGATTTCATTTCATCGCAGCATCATAAGCAAAAATAAAACCGTATGCTACACCAACAATAAAGATGACAGGTACAATATATGAATGGAGACAGCATCAACAGCTACACAGGTCACACAGCCACCCTGTGAATTCAAAAGGAAAGCATTAAATGTGTATTTATATTTTTCAAGCCACTTAAAAGCAGCTGCCATAAATAGACTGCATCACACCCACACATCATAATCATATACATGTGCATATAAGCGTTTACATTCATACATACACAGATATGTGCACACGTGCCTACACCAATCTCACACAAGCACACGTATTTTAGGCTACTTGTGAGGACAGTCGTTGGCTATAGGCCTTCCCAAGCTCTTAACCTTTAGCTCTACACATCACCTCGGCCCATAGCTTAATATGTGCTAATTAACTCTAATTAACCTCAACCCGAGTCCTGACCCTAAAATAACCCCTGGGAGAGGTGAGGACAGGCTACAGGCCCTCACCCTGAAGATCTAAAAGGCAAACTGTTCCTCACTAAAACAGAAGTACAGGTACACATTAGAGCACATACGAGCACACACACCTACACACACACACACCTACCTACACACACACACACACACACAGGAAGAGTGATTTCCCCCGTCGTCTGATCTGGTTCATGTCTTCCTGGAGAGGCACCAGAGATAAAAGAGAAAGAGTAAGAGAGAGAGAAGGAGAGAGAGAGAGAGAGAGAGAGAGTGAATCGATTCTCGATGCTCCAGTTTCTTCCAGTTTCCTCCCACACCAACCTCAGCCACCTGTCAGAGCCGAGGTTGTTATTCCATAAAAGCTACAGCGCATGTGAAGCAAAATCAGTCACTAATTATTTCAAAGCCATTTTTGTATCAAGGATCATAAAGTTATTTTAACATTGGTATAACTTGTACATATGAATGAATTTGGTGAACTGATCACATAATGGTTTTTTCTATGCTGAAATTAAATCTTGGGGACAGACATTCAAAATGTCTGATGTTATGCCATAAAACATGGGGAGTGGTTTTTACCAAAATGCATGATGTCTATACTTTAGACCTAAAAAACATGTTAAATGCATTTCCATCTCTCATAAAATGTTTGCAAACGCTTTGTGGTTTCGTTTGTTTTTCAATGTTAAACTGCTAGCTTGCAGTCTTCTACACTGCCTTTGTTATACTACTGCCAAGAGGCCAAGTGAGGCTGATATGTCCATCAGTAAACTCTGTAAATCCCTCAGAGTTGAGGCAGAGAAGCTACAGGACATCAACTAGAAAATAACTAGAACAACTTTCCTCCAAAGCTGAAAAAGCACTTTTTACATACAAAAACCTGAAGGGGTTGGTCCTGACCCCTGAGCAGCAACATTGTAACATTATATATGACAGAAACCAAGGAAAAGCATAATAGTCCCCCTTTAACTACAAACTTAATGTATTGAACTCAGTAACTGCAAGAAGTATGTGTAAAATGAGTGATTTGGATTCATCTTCAGCAGATTATTCCCTGTTTAGGGAACTTTTTATAAAATTTTCTGTATGTATTATGTATTTTTTATTTTATTTTGACAATCATACACACTTACTAGGCTTGTTTCTGCCAAATTCAGTATTTTCTCTGTCACTGGTGCTAAATCATCTATTAGACAATTTATTTAACAATTTACTTTACATTAGCTTTTTTCCACATAAGTTAAATAAATGTATGTATATATGTGTACTGTGTATATTTTAAGTTTTCTTACACATCTTAAAGAACCAGTGATACTAGAATTCAGACTATCTATTCAGGATTCATCCTGACAAAAAAAAAAACACTTCCCATGGCTGAACCCAAATGATCATATTTAAAGACATTAACTAGCACAGAATATTTATCATCAGTGATTTCTGTGAAAAATGGACCTTCCAAACTAAAGTTAAAATCTCTTAAAAGAATTCATCTTATTCAGTGTTTTTTTTTATTTAAATATCGAATGCGGTTTGCACAACCCATGGTTCAATGGAAGCCATTTCTAATCCAGCCATGTAATTTAATCAATGGAAAATAAAGCTGCTCGTCTTCATTATTCAGAAAATCTGATTCCTTGAAGATATATGATTTTTTTATGTTCAGTTGGCACGACACATAGAAAGATAAACACAAACAAAAAGGATGCTAAAGAGAAACAGGGAACAGAAGACGATTCTGCAACCCATTCACATGTCACTCTTCCTCAATAGACCTCCATACAGTTCATAAGCGCGCTAAAAAGCTTACATTCAGTGGAGTAACAGGGTATACACAGAGGCCTTAAAGCTGCGAGGAATGAGGAGGCTTATCTGTATAATCCATTCAGACCCTCAACATCCTGTACATCAGCACATACACAGCAGTTTACAGCCACAACACACAGTGACATGAAAGAGACTTATTGTTCATACAGTTCACTCAGACCCACTCATACTTCTCTGCTGAAGTAGTGCTGGAAAAGAGAGGAACAGGATGAAGAGATGAATGGAAACTGACGGGAAGAAAGAGGGGAATTGTGAGAGAAAGAGGAGGCAAATTTGGGAAGAAGCAGGCGCAGGGGGAGGGGAGAGGAGAGGATGCGAATGCTCACTGTGTCGGGGTTGAGACGTGTGGTGTTGCCCCATCTTGTGGTCAACATCCATTATCACAGTAGCCATTTTAAATGAGTTTCAAATTGGATCTGACTCGGTCAGAATAATGTATGGAAAGATGGAAGATATGAGAGAAGGGGGTAAATTACTGGAAATGTGAAGTGCAGTTAGTTAGTCAGCAGTAAGTCTGATTTATAAAAGAGAAAATACAAAAAACTGTATTTATAGTGCATAACTTTAATTGTCTGATATGATTCCATAGAAAAGCCGTTCCAGTTATTCCATTTGCAGAATCAATGATTGAATGTTTTTACAATTTACAGTCACAAATTATTACATAATGTTATTTATGAAAGAAGAAATGAAGGTTTTCCATCACATCCAAAAAATACTGATTTTCAAACTGCTGAGGCATATTGAAGCTTTTATCGCCGACTGGAAAGTAACTCAAAATGTAACAAAAAAATCCACAACCTGTGGTGGCCAATTCCTTGAAACTCCATTATTACCTTAGGTTTATGATGTCTCTTGCCTCAGTCTCGTACACTTGTCCAAATTCATTTCAACAAAAACTTGAGAGAGAGATGTGCAAATTATGAACTTGTTGCTGTCAGTCAAACTGGCTTGTATGGGTGTTTACTTTGTTTGAAAATATGACCTGGCATAAAAACAGTTTAAGAGATAATAAGATCACATAGATAGTTTAAAATCCAGCTATTGTAAACAGAATAATCTTACTTTTTAAATGGTGCAAATTAAATATTCCAAATCATAAGGCAGCAGACAAAATCCAGTATATGTTCCACTATCCTATAAGAGGCGACTGGTTAGCACTGACCAGCATGTGCTAAATGTCACCGACAGGCCACGGTAGCATTCCAAAGCCACATACAGCATGTAGTTATAAATTAGCATAATTCAATTTGATTTTAATACATATTTTTGGAATGAAGTTTTTCAATACATCTGAGACATATTCCTTAACAATCAGTGCAAATGATACGATTGTTAATAATATAAATAATAAACTCTTGAACACTTCATTAGTAATACATTATGTTCTATCTGTGACCAAAAGGATGCAACTAATTCAATAATTCCTTGCATATTATTCAGTAAAAACTGAAAAAATATTTCACAGGCTGATCCTTTAACAGCTCCTCTTGGAGTGGAGGACAGTGTTGCACGACTTCAGTGAGAATTCAATAACCAGTGTGACATGTACCACGTTTTAAAATTAAACAATGTGAAGGAAATGTGTTTGCTCAGCAGGAAATGACTTTGAATAAGACAGCTAGAAACAGGAAGGACTTAGACTTTGTAAAAAGGATGAAAATAGAGGGTGTAAAGATCCATTTCCTTACTCTAGTTTCTACTCTTTTTGGTTCCATATTTAACCAAAATCTACTGTTTTGGGTCAGATAGAGAAAAACTTGAAATGTGTAGAAATGAAAGGTAATTCTGACATACGCTAGTGATGATTTAGGAAAAAAACATTTGACTTCGGTGTGGATGTTTGACTTGGTCGAAGCTGTGTAATGAGAGCACTCACTCCTGTTGGACTGATTTTCTGCTCACCATAGACTATGGTTAATTACATTTAGCACTTGGGAACTTTGGCATCTTGGTGCAAGTCTGCACACATAGGTTATAATCCTCCTTATTTTTATTCACTTATGCATTTTCTCTTCTTCAGTCACTCCTGCAGACTGTATGCAGTTTGCTTTTAGCGTTCCAGTCTTCCACTCTCGTTATTCTCCATAAAAACATCTTTATATTTGAGATAAAATACAAAATCTGTGTTTGCAGATAAAATGTAAATAATTTCAAGCAATCATTTTTATAGCTACCCAGACTTTTCTGTTGGAACCCTCTTGTAAGACTCTTATTTACATTGACTAAAAAACAGAAATATGAAGTAAAAAACGTAATCTTTCCTAATTCATACAGAGTCCTAAGTGGACCGTTTCTCCACACCCTGCTTGATCCCCAGCACCAGATGAACAAACCAGTTGATCTGAACCATCCAGCCTTTCTCTCTGCAGATCTCTATCTGGTCCAGCAGGTGGCGCTGCGCCTCGTCCTCGCTGCGGCCGACAGTCAGTGCCTCACGGATATACTCGATATCCTCCTTACTAGTCAGCTGGGGCATGCCTGTTAATGGCCACAAATAAGAGTCTCACTTTTCAGACAGAAATATGAGCCTCCATCAGTTCTGTCTATCATTCATTATCTGATCGTCTGTCTCCTTTAAAACTACTGAAGATAAAAGCATAAAAGCTGCACTGAATGACAGCCAGCTAGTTTTAAATAACTAACTAAAAGGAGATTTTAAAATACAACTCTTTTCCTATTAAAAGAAATAATGGTAACAAGTCGTACCGGTCATCAGCATCATGGAGAAGAGGATGATGAGCAGGTTGGTGTGGTGCCGAAGGGCGAGGTAAGCCTTCACACACACTTCCTGAGACAGAAATAAAGGATCAATAAATAAATAAATGATGCAGATCACATAAATACTGTACATACAGACAAATGCACAGATATTTTAGATTTGAGCTGATGTAACACATCCTCCCTAAAATCTAACTTGGTTGCTAGCTGATTCCTGCAATGTATGCTGAGTGCATTCACATGACAAAATGTCATTTTCTGCACCTGGAATTTCTGGAAGTGGGGGCTGCTCTTCTTTCCTGATGTTCCCATGACGTACAGGAAGTCTGGTGTGAGCACGAAGGGAACCCACTCCTTACTGATTCCCATGAAACTCTTATAATTCCCCAGGATGTGGCCGAAGTCGATGTGGAAGAGATTCCCTGCAGAAAACCAAAGATTCGGTTTCAGTTTCTCCTTGACATTTATTAATACTTAATATTTTACAGATACTCAGGGGCAAGCTTTTTATAATTAATCAGAGCTAAAAAATGATGACTTTTGTGCAAATGGTACAGGCTGCAATATTTATTTTTTAAGTCATCTATACACAGTGAGAAGAAAATTCTAATAAAAGACGTCATTACCAGATTCAGTGATCATGATGTTGTCATTGTGGCGATCTCCAATACCCAGGACGTAAGTAGCCACACAGTAGCCACCGCAGGAGTACAGGAACCTCTCCACAGCCTGCTGGAACTACAGAGAGAGAGAGAGAGAGAAAACACACAATACAACAATTCTAGATAATTCTAGATAATTATTGAAACTGCCATTGGTTTTTGTTTTGAAATGTCAGATTCACTGAGTGGATTCCTCGTTGTTTCAGGAGAGCTACAGCGTGGTTCAGAATAAGTTGGATGCTGTGGAACTGGAAAATCTCAGCTGTGCAGACGCGTGAAATTGAACAACAGTGAACATTAAATTGCCCTCCTCCATTAAATCTTTTACTGTAGATGTAAAAATTAATGTTCTGTGATGCACTAGACAAAAATGATACTAAAGCACGGTGTGGAGTCTTTTCCTTTTGAATCAAAGCTAAAAGAGGATGCAGAGCAGGATCATTTAACAAAAAGAAGATAGGGACTCTCGGGGTGCAGGTGTCGTGGCTAAAAGTAGTGCGTGTCTGCGCCTGAGGGTTACTTCCTTCCTGACTGCTAGACTGCGACTTCCTGTAACGTCTGACAAACAGAGCAGCTGCTGGAGACAAAACACTGAATCCATAACATTTCAGCTCTAAGAGATAGGTTTACTTCTTACTGAGAGGATAACAGAGGAATGTTCAACTGGTTGGATGGGTGCGCTGGAGAAGTGAGAAGTGAGAAGTGAGGTGTTTCTGTTCCTGCTTTAAGAATCTTGATATAGTCCATATAATAATTATTTGCATGCTTAATCTGATGCGTACCTTGTCCTCACTGACACACTTGTCCCGGAGCCACTGATAAAGGATTTCATCTTTAAAAGCTCCGGTGCTTCCTACAACACTCTGCTGGATGTTAGCGATGGTGGTGGCGTCCTTCACAATCTCAATCATACCTGCAATGCAACAGTAAAGACAAACGGAGGGGGTAACTACCACAGAACGGCTGATTTTCCATATCGGTCCGGTTGAATAACTGACCTATTCTGTTTCCGGTGGAGATGCAGCCGTATGGTAACAGACAGAGGTCCAGTGATTCTGTCTCCCAGATTGACTCCATGATCAGCAGAATCTGAAGGGACATGAGAGGAAACCAATTAAAAAGAATCTTTCTTCAGTCATTTGCTACCTGAAAACAGAAACAAGAAGGGCCACTCCAATCTACCTCAATTATGAGCTCTACAAAAAAAAAACTCATCAGACTGCATCCAGAAGACGACTTCAATCAAGACGACATCCAGAGACGTTAAAACTTGTATTTTAAAAGTACTTATCAGGTCACATGCACGCGTACCGACCGCGCACCGACCTCTAATGTCACAGACTTTTGCTGCCGCTTACACCTGCAAGGATGAGCATGTCCTGTCGAGGTCATATCCGCCGTCTTTTAATGATAATTGCCAATGGCTCTTTTGGACAGATGTGGTGGGGCTGGCCCCTTTACCTATAACTGCAGCAACAGCGCTTCTTCTTAGACGCCATCACTCTTAACTGGCAACGACTGAGCGTATCACAAACAGTATTTATCTCAGTGACATTAATGTTCACAGCCACATTTCATTTCTTGTTTTAATTTCACTTGCAAACACTGCACTATTTATAAATTGGTTCTATTTTATAACTCTCTTATGCAGGCAGCTAGAAGAATAAGGTATGTATGATGTCTACCACTGCAGTGTATGTGTGTGTGTGTGTGTGTGTGTGTGTGTGTGTTGTTTGTGATGTGTGTGATGTTTGTCCTCTCACCATCTCAGGTGCTCCAGCTCCTGGAGTCCCAGGATCTACATGAAGGACGTCGGTCAAATACTCAACTTTGGGCCAACTGTCACGACAGCTACCAGGCTTTTCGACGGCACACCTGAAAACACCACTGACACAACACACTATACACCACACACAGCACACACCACTAACACACACATTAACCAAACACACACACACAACCACACTACCCACAACACACACACACACAGCGTTAGTTTTCACTGCTTGAGATTAAAACAATATTTAAGATATATCTTTAAACCACAGTAGATTAAAACAGTATACACTACACTAAACTGTCTACTAAAATGTCAGTTTTCGTTACTTCTTAAATGGTCTTTCTTTCATTGCTATATTTTAAGGCAGGACCTCATGCATACCAGATATAGAGTTTAATAAAGTCTACATCCCAATAATTCAAAAGATAGTACTGTCTGAGATTGAGTAGCTGCAGCAGTAGTAGTGAACATTAGCACGTGTAACAGACGCTGTAGTGGATAATGTCGGACTGAATCTTTGATTGTTCTGAAGTGCTCAGTTAAGTGTACACTATATTAAGTTAATTTCCCGCTTTGCCTTGCAGTCAGACAGCCCTTTCTGATGAGAAACTGAAGCGTTTATATGGATCTATGCTCTCTACAAAGCAACCAGACTTCATTGTTAAAGAGAATGATTTTACCTTGCAGTTTCTGGTCCGCCACTGCCCTAATGGGTTAGTTTGTTTGTGTAAATTCGGAACAAAGCTAACGTTAGTTGTTAGTGGATCGATGCAGCAGTAGACCAGCAACTCCTGTGTGCTGCGCGGTAAAATTACAGTTTTTGTCAAAGTAGTCTGGTGGCTTTGGAGAAAGCAATATAAACACAACAATGTAAACACTTTCCTGTTGGAAAGGCTTCTCCAATACCTCCGTCTACTGCTACTATATACACTGATGGATAAGTACCTCATAAAGTATAACCCCACTTCAATAAATCTAAACAGACCAATTAAATGTTCAGTCTCATTAGGAAATCTGAATGTTAAAGTAAATACACAAAGCTAACAGAACCCATTTTATCCATAGAACTGAATATTGCATGCAGAGCTGCAGGATGGACTGAATGTGTAATTTCTCCTCCTCACCTTGTGCAGTGACGTCATACTTGTCAGCAGACATGGCCTTGATCTCACGGGTGACTTTCTGCAGAGCCTCAGTCATCTCCACCTGGAGAGCATGGTGTCACTTACTCAGAGATATAGCTGACTCTCTATAGTCTAAAATTTAGCTGGCTGTCAGCCATCAGTCACCATCTAATTAGGAATTTGTTGTGATAAGACAAGGCAAGACTGAAGCGTTTTACACCTCAGTGATTCTGAATCTACACCCACCATTTTATCTTGGATACATGACCTACTGCTCACCTGTTTCCTGAAGTCCTGCAGCATGTCCTCACCACAGCCTCTCAGGTAGGCCTCCAGCAGGACAGCATACCTCTGCTGGTAATGCATGGACTGAGCGATCTCGCTGCGCAGGAACCAGAAGAGAAAATGACCTATACGCTTACTCTGTGTGGGAGAATAAAAAAAAAAGAGGAAAGACTGACTGGACTGCTGGAGAGACCGTAACACTGTATGATTATTGTAACATTAATCCATGTAAATGTTCAAATTAAACAACATTGTCAGACAGTGTGAGAAACAGATACAGATGTTGGTACCGCGTACCCTCAGAGCTCTCTTCAGCAGGAACCTGACCAGGGCGCTGTCATGGTAAGGCTCAAACTTGACCGCCTGCAGGAGACATACACAAGTACACACAAGCAATGTAGCTTAAATAACAGGATTTTCAGGTTTCAGTATACACGCATTCATTCATACACATGAAAACATTTTTTTTTCTATTTCTGTTATGTGAAACCCCTTTGTACACAATCCAAACCACAAGGTGGAAATCTGAAAATAAACTGGGTTTCCTTTAAAAGCTGTAACAATGGGACTACATTTGGCTTTCTGTAAATTCTGATTTAAAGTGCATTCTGAGGAGTTGTGACCAAGCAGTGGTGTGTTAAGGCGTTGGGGGACAAAATCTAGAAAAAGAATAAAAACCTGACAACTAAGGAGAAAAGAAAACTATTGAGAAAATGTATCACCAGAATGTTTTTTCTCTCTCTATTGTATGTCAGAATGAATAAGAAATACCATGAGTGTGCTAAAATATCTACACTATTATCAGTGTCTTTAAATTCATTTTGTTCTGTGTTTGCCTGTACATTGTTTAGTTGAAACAAACAGACCATTAAAATGACACCTGTACAGCCTGTTCTTAGTCAGTGTAAAACCTTTGCCTTTTTGGATCTCAATCAGCATTATTTCTCTGTGTGTACAGTTTTTAGCATTTCATATAAACATATCAGAATGTGTATTGGAAACAAACCCGCCACAAGTTCACTGGATACAGAGACAACAGTATCTGTGAAGGTAGGAGTCATTTTCCTATCAGACCAAAGAGCCCTTTGTTGGCCTCGGCTGATCATTTATATTACTCATGCAAAGTAGACTACAGTGTCACTATGGAAACCCATCCGAGGACAAACACGCAGTGTGTATCTGCTGAGCCGCCTCTTTTCATGAGCTTGTGAGATGAGTGCACGTCCAGTGAGTTACTGGAAGAAGCACTGTTCTGTAAGCCAGCCAGCCTGGTCCAGTATGCAACCTCTACACTGTAATGTAGAGACTCGAAGCCACCAGCGCACAAACACTGAGAATGGACAGTGAAGTAGGAGACATCTTGTGTCCAACAGGAATATTTGCATATTCATAAATTCTTCCTTTTTATGATGCAGAAAAAGAACGTATAAAAACAAATAGAAAAGAATGGAAAATACACACCTGTACAAGCTGCAGGAGGTACCTGAGCACATCATCATCTCCCAGAGTCTCCAATTTCCTGACAGCCATTGAGCGAACCTGAGCGTCTGAGTAGTGACAGTCCAGCAGCTGCATGGCCAGACCAACGTCCAGACCACTGAACAGGGACAACATGATGACAGGTGATGGGACATTCAACCTACTGAGGACAGATATATGTGGCGGCAGTGTGAAAGCCCTTTTACCTGCTGTCCCACGCACTGCTGCGCTCCAACAGACGGTGTGTTGCTAAAACATCTTCCTGTTTCCCCCACCTGACTGAGCCCAGAAGCTTTGGGTAGGCCCTGAAGACAAGGAATTGGGGACAAATTTTAATAAGAGCATAATGATGTAACACTCTGTTGTACATTTTCTTTGGAATAAAATAAGTACCTGGGGTCGCGCATACACTCATGCCTGAAGTGCCAGAGCAACTCTTTGTCCTCAGGACTGAGGGGATGCAGGGGGTCTGTAGCCACGATAGCCGCAAACTGCTTCTTTAGGTGGTTCGGCATCTCCCTCTGACCTCGCTCCCCACCCTCGGCCTCCTCGCCCCCAGCCCCGATGTCCCGGCCCACGTCGCGACTCTTGGGCAGCACCACGGGGTAGCAATACTTGTCCAGTAAAATGGCGATGGCCATGGTGGAGGCCTTGTCCGGGTTGGTGGCTGAGGTGAGCTTGTCGGCGTTGATGCTGCTGCTGCTCTCATCGCTCTTCTCCGGCATTTTCCACATGTGGAGGATGAACTCGCCCTGGCGGAGCAGGGAGCGGTGGTCGATCAGCAGCAGGTTGACGTAGTACAAAAGGCGGCTCTTGGTCTTTCCTGAAAGATGGACAGACAGACAGATGTGGGCCATGCTCTAACAACTGTCAACATGATGAAGTAGGCAAATGTTATTAGACTTTACCATCATGGCTGCCTGTTCCTGCTGTATTATCCTGGTAGGTAGAGCCTCCCTTGGAGTTTGGCGTCTGGGGCTGCTTCCCACAAACCACCTAGTTGGGACAAATAGGGCAGAGCATTAATACTATTATTCTGTCAAAAAAAAAATATATTTGGAGACTGACAACAATGATCACAGATTAAACGTTTACCTGGAGGTTGAGGCGGGCTCCTTTAGGCAGATCCTTGATCTTAATGTTAAACTCCAGCCAGCAGTTCCACAGCACTTCTTCATTGAAGGATTTAGAGGACGTCCTCTCCTGAGGGAGTAAGGGCAGGTTTAAACTCTGCTATCTCGGTTGTCCAAAACCTGCTATTTACGCATTTTTTCGGGAAAAAAAGTGCTTCCTGAAATTGTTGGTTAAAAAAACAACATCCAGCTAACAATAATTTTAAATGTATGGTTGCCATTTTTTGAGCAATATCTATTTTATGTATTTAAATACTCTCTTTATAGTGTTTTTCATTGTTAGTGGCGGAGTCCGCCAGTATCCTGCGGTATACAAAAACCTTCACACACAAAAGACTCACAGGAAATGGTGCAGCATGTGACACAGTGTTAGTTTTATCTCACTGATTTTAGCCTCACTGTTCACTCTTACAGACGTAGCAAAGAAATCACATCAAAAGCATTCAACTGGGCTTTTATTGTGAAGCTGTCAAAGAAAATGCAATGTATTTGTTACTGGGGTTAGAGCAGTGTAATGTAACAAGAAACAGCCACATTGAGCTACTAGCTTTTGTGTGCTTGGACTACCGTACCTGGGCTAAAAGCTGCTGGCCGTGGAAGATGCTGGCCTCTATGAAGACAATGAACTCTGGGATTTTGGGGAGGGATGGGATGTCGATACCCAGCACCTTCACTCTGAACTTCCTGTTACAGTCCCACATGGAGATAGTGAATACCCGCTCATGGTCCTTCTCATCAATGGTCAACTGCTCATGGGTACCTGACAAAGAGAGGTTAGGAAGAGAATTATTACCACTAAAAGACAGACAGTACCAGGTTGATGAATTGGACTTGATGCATCGTTAAATACACACACAAACACTTCTGTTAATTTACCTGCGACTCCTGTGCAGTCATCTACCTGTGCCCAGTCCTCCTTCTGGACCAGATCCAGCTCGGGATCAGGTGGGGACTCCAGAACCAGGTGGATTTCCTCTCCGTTCTTCAGACACTGACGGATCCAGTTGAAGTTCTGCAGTGGTTTATCCCCGTACAAGTACTCCTCCCTGTGTGAACACAAAATATGAATGAAACTACCCTCTATGATACAATCCAGTGAATCACTCTTCTACTCTCAATGCAAACTTGATCACTTTGACTCCATGTATAAGTAGCGATGGAAGGATTGATGTGTTTTAGTCTCTGACATACCTTCCACACACACGCATCACAAAGTCTTCCTCACACATGTTTTCAGGAATGCCCAACAAAGCTCTCTTATTGGCTGTCTTTGTGAAAAAACTTGCCAACACCTAAACAAGACAGATAACTGTTAGAAAGTGGAACAGTAACAGAACAGAAAGTCGTACACATCAATGCTGTTCAACTACCTGTGCTGGCGGGTCATCGATGGACACCTTGATGGTCTGACTGGCCGTGCCGATGTGGATCACTACCAGGATGTTACCGTTGCCGACCTGAAAGGAGGAACGAAGGAATGAAAGGATTGTTTATGCCAAAGATTTCATTCTATATAAGCGGTAACAGCAGGGAATATCTCTTGGCGCCACTGAAATCATTCACATAATAAAATCAATCAACGTATAGACACCTTGCTGAGCAGGTGCTCAGGTAGCAGCTTGCGGGTCACCCAGGGGTCCATGGAGTAGAGCTTTGGGTCGCGGTCGGACAGCTCGATGCGCCGCGGCGTCAGCAGCTTCCTGCGGGTGAACTCCAGCTCGTCGTCGTGCACGTTACTGACATCCGTCACGTCGTAGCCGATCAGGTAGTTGAGGTAGCGCTGGTACTGCAGGGACTCGTCCGAAGGCTGCGGGCGGGGAACCATCTGGATCCGGCCTACATCTTTCTTCAGGGCTTTTAAAACACAACAGGGGAGTTTGACATAATCAGAATGTGATAACTTGTTGATTCTGACTCCACATTGTGTCACCGGTCGGTACCTCTCCAGTAGCGAATGCAGTCCAGCGTCTGAAAGACCTGGTGCTTGTCGTAGATCTCACACACGTTGCCTTTCTTCTGGTAGAGCAGGATGCAGTGGTCGGGTGAGAGCCGCTGGTAGAAGTCAGGACAGAGGTTCAAAGTCACCGCCTTCAGCCACACCTGAGCTTTCACCTGGGAGACAAGAAATATCAATATAATGCATGTTCAAAGCCACAGCGAGGGCCATTTTAACAGCATCAGTACGTCAGGTGACCTGCTCCACCGTCCAGTTTCCAGCCACCTCCAGCTGCAGAGTGTCGGGGCTGTTTCCGCCCCGCGCCGTGGTGGGCAGGACGAACTCCACAGCGATCTGATCCATGGAGCCGGAAGAAGACGAGGTGATGGCCTTCTTTCGTCTCCTCCTCCGGTTCTCTTCTCGTAGGACTCGGGGCTCTTCGTCGCTCACCTGGATCTGCTTCCCGTCCATCGCCTAGCTTGAGGGGGACGAAAGACGCACAGGAACAGAAAGACAGAATACTCCGATGCTGTCATTGTGTATATATCTCATAGTCCTTTGGAGGCAGGATCATCAAAGGAGAGACAGTAATGCAAATAAATCACAGATAAACTGATATATTGATAGAGGCAGATATTTGGAATACCACTTATATGTATATCAGGAAACACTGATCTATGACTTCTGATGTTTCATTCTTTATAACCTTCAGTCACAAGGTAGCTTTAAAATAGATTTAAGGTAAATGTAAGACTTTTTAAGACCTATTTAAGACTATTATGAATGCAACTTAAGAACAAGTAATGTTAACTTTATTAATCTAATCCACTTTTAAGTTCTTTTAAAATCATTTAAGACATTTTAAGGCCTAAAATTATTATAGGCCTTAAATAATTGGATTTAAGGCTTTTAAGGACCCTGTTGACACCTTGCACTGCAGAATTACAATTTGAGCAAATGAAGCGAGGCAGAAACTCCTAGTGCGCCCACTGTGAAAGCCTCCTGAGATTCATTCATCAAGACAATGCATTAAAGGCGCAAGTGATAAAAATAAGTGAGTGAAGTAATTTACGATTCTATTAAAAGGTTCTGTTTCCTGTTTCCGACAGCACTTGTCAAATGCAATAGTAGAATCACACAGTGTGAAAAAGGCTAGTGTGTTACAACTGTGATTTATGTTTATTTATGTCATTTTAAGACTTCCGTTTACAGCTGTTCGACTCGCAGATAACCTTCAAAATGTCAGAAAACAATACAAAAGGCCAGTTGACCAAAAGATGTTGAGTTTAATACAATATGTTACACAGAAAAGCAGAAAATCCTCACATTCTGAGACACTGGAACCAAAGAATGATTGTCATTTTTTGCTTAAAAATTACTCCGATAATTATTCATTTTTTTTTACATTTTTTAATATTAATTTATATCAATCATCTTGTTGATCAATCCATTGTTGGATTGGAATTGTTTCAGCTGTAAACTGCAGCTAGCAGTGACGGTGATAAAGATGTGGACTGTGTAGGAATTATAAGTTGTTATAGAATTTTAAGAAATTTTGAATTTGTCATTTTACTACAATATGAAGAAGAAGCCAAACAGTTGTTTTGTTGACTGAGACTGTCCACTTCTATTGGACCTCCTGACCAATGCAGAGCAATAGTCTCTTATTCTTTTTGTCTAAAACAAAGATGGCAACCCAATAAAAGTAATTTTACAGGACTAAAGTGTAGGAAAATGTCTCATTTCACTTCTACAACAAATTCTAAAAATAAATTAAATAAAAAAATTACTTCAAAGGGGTTTTATTGGCATGGTAAACAACATTGCCAAAGCAAGTGTAAAATATATAAATTCGTAAGAAAATAATAATAATAATAATAATAATAATAATACCTATAATAATACCTATAATAGTAATAATAATAATTATACCTATAATAATAACAATAAAATACAATAACTTGAAATAAAGTAGAAAAATAAATGATATTAATTACATAAGAATGATAATAATGCACTCATGATGATGACTGTGACAGACTGCAGTGACTGAGGTCACAGGATCAACTGGCTGGAGTTTCCCTTCTGCTTCTTTCACATCAGCAGAGGAAGTTTTGAAAAGCAGGAAGCAAAAACTCGACCCAGCATGGATGAAACAGTGTCTGCACACAGAAAGGCAGTCTGCCGCTGTTACCACTGCGTTACAACCGTTACTTATGTGTGTTTCCGCAGTTAAATCGGACAATGACAACCCAGCGAGCACTGAATCAAACTTTAACAAGCAGACATAGCGGAACTGGGTTAGTCTGCGGTGAATGTAACGGTACTACAGCTGCCATAATAATCGGAACAGATGCGTCAATTCTTGTCAAACAAGCACATAAAGTTTTTTTTTTGTGACTCACCAATGAACGCAGACGGCAGCGAAACCCGGAGCTTTGGGCGAAAGTTTCGGCATTTATGCTACATGAAGAGACCAAAGGCTATAGCGAAAAATAGTTTTTAAACTGCAGACAAAGTCCGCATTAAGGAAATGCTTCGCTTCTACCCGGGAAGGATGTCAAGCTCACCGGCTAACTTCAACCAGAACAAAAGCAAGACTTCCGGTTTTCTCTTCAAAGTAAACCATGTACCGCGGCTCTAAAAACGTTTTTTTAAGAAGAGTAGACAGATATAGAAACATTAAATTTTTCTGGGTCGTCAAATGGACTTCAATGTATTTTCAAATGTATGTAACAGAAGATGTTGATGTTTATTCATTAGTTTTTATTTTATTATTTATTATTTATTTCGAAAGTATAAACCGGACGTTGTTATGTAATCATATCTAACTTCACGTCCTGTCGTGGTGTAATTCCTCGCAGTGGCCACTGGAGGGCAGTGAACACTCATGATTCTACATATTATAACATAACTTTCTAAGACGTTGGCAAGCTCCACAACAGAGAACTGTTATTTAAACACCATACTGGTGTTACTCTTTATATTTGAAATAATCACACGAATAATGTTTTGTTCATACTGATATAAAGATATAAAGTCTCTGATGTGGCACTTTGGACCATCTTTAGTTCACTCAGCCCTGTTTACTTAAACCCTTACAGATATCAAAGATTTAAGATTTGATTTGTCAGGTGTGCTTAATTGTTTCTGGGATTATCTCAAAGTCTAAGGACACTGAGACTTGTTGACACTTTCACTTTCACTGTTTGACATAATAGTTTTATTTAGCAAATCAATAGAATAGCAAACATAATAGTATGCTATTTAAATATGCCTACTTGCTGGCGTACTTGTATCGATGTTATATTTACATGTCAAACTGTAATCACACTTGTAATAACTTGGAATTTTGCCCCTTTGTATTTAAATCTGAATTTACTCAAAGTTACTCATCACGCAAATACATATTTGCTTTGTTTTTACTATTGCAGAACTATACTTTTATTTCTTGAGTACTTGTTGTTATAAAGTAACATTAGCCCTGAGTAGTTTTTGGCTACACCGCCTCTGACTAACCTCTGACTCACCATTTCTTACGTGCAGCTGTGAAACATCTACAATTACAGAGTGAAGAGTGTACTTAGGGATATTAAGGGTTTTATACAAGGGGTACAAACATGTGTCTGACACTGTCTGTGACCAGGTTACTTTGCTGAAATAACCTGTTGGTCTAGTTGTGCTGGATATATGACAACTGAGCTTAAGGCTATTTGTATGCTGCTGATCAACAACATTCATACTTAGAACTGTCCATGTTTTCAAACCTACATGACCTCATGTTTATAAGATAAAATAAGATAAGATAAGATAAGATAAGATAATATGTATTCCTAAATATATTCCTTTATTTATCACACAATGGGGAAATTCCAATGTTACAGCAGCAAAGTGGATAGAGACAAAACAGTATAAAAACAGTAAGAGTAGGGAAATACTATAATATAATATAAACACTATATGTACAAGAGAAAAAACAGTA